TGGACTGTAATTGGACTGGAATCATTTTTTCACAGTGAACATGGGTGGGTTGCAGCCCTGCAACTGGGCAGCTACTCATGCATGTGGGTCCCACGGCCTCCAGGATAATCCTGGGGCCCTCCACTGACTACATCAAGATTCTTTTAGTGCAGTGTTTTGCTCATGTGTATGTGTCCTCCTTGGAGGGAAGGTGTAGCCCGATCTCATCAGATCTCAGAAACTAAGCAGGGTCGGTACTTGGATGGGAGACCGTCAAGGAAGGCTCTGCAGAGGAGGGCCATGGCCAAAGGGAATTAGATAAGCATATGGAGCAGAGGTCCATCAGTGGCTATTAGCCACAAGGTATAGATAGGGACTCTGGGGCAAGTGATGCTCTGTCATCTTGGTGCTTGGGGGGGTCAACAGTGGGAGGGCTTCTAATGTCCTGGCCCCACTGGTGGACCTCCTGATGGCACCTGGTATTTCTGGCCACTGTGTGATACAGAGTGTTGGACTGGATAGGCCTTTGGCCTGATCCAACATTGGCATCTCTTATGTTCTTATGTTCTTAACCACCTCTCTGCTTCTCACTTGCCTTGAATGCCCCTTGCTGGGGCCGCCATAAGTCAGTTGTGGCTTGACGGCACTTAAATATGTATACGTGGCCTGGCTGAAAGCCATTCAGACAGAAAGCTGATCTTCAGACTTTTGCGCGAGAGACATGGGTGAGGAAGGCTTTCCTTGGGTGAGACTAGTCTCTCCAAACATCTGGGCACAGACTGCAGCCTTCCAGCCCTTTAGAAAGCAATTTACGGAGAGCTGGGAGGAATTAGAAACGCCGTCCTTGCAGCTAAGCAAGTTGTCTTGTACCCTCGGAAGGCTTAAAGCTAAACTTCTGCACAGTCTTACTTGGGAGTAAGTCACACTGATGGCAGTGAGACTTACTTCTGAGTAAACACGCCCGGGCTATAAATCAGTGCTGGAAATAGGCAAGGGGATACGAGGGACAAAGTACATGCAGTGTGTGAGATCCCGAATCAGGGTCTTCTGTTGACAGGCAGGTTGCTTGTTTGTTAATTAATGGCCCCGGTCACACGAGAGGTTTTGGGCCGGTAGAGGGACGGAACGGGGACGCAGCAAACATGCACGATCCCACAGCAACATCTGGGAATCGTGCTGCTTGCGTCCCCGATCCGCCCCTTCCACCCCAAACCCCGCACCAAAACAGAACCACCTACCTTGGTGGTTCATCCGAGAAGTGCGCCCCAAGCCCGGCTGTGGGATTGCCAGCGCGTCCTTGCGCCGGTGCATCCCCGGCCCCTGGCCGAACTGCCCATGTGTGAGCATGCGCAGTTCGCCAGCCTCCCCTTCCCACCGTAGCTTTCTCCCCCAGCATCTGATCGTGCCGGGGAGAAAAGGCGCCGCGGCTCAGGGGATCCGTGGGATCCGGCCGCGGCGTCTCAACTTTGGTGTGGCTTTTAGAAGCCACGCTTTGAGCGCATTTTCCCCTGCCGTGTGGCAGGGGCCACAGTTGTGCTGGGAGAGGGTCAGATTGGATTGGGGCCACCACAGTGTGAGTGCACTTCACTCCCTCTGTCCTAATTCTTTGTGTGGGAAAGCAAATGGCAAAGAGCGGCATCTGGGGAAGATTTGCATTGAGAAGATGGCACCAGGGGTTGAGAGGGCTGAACACCCCCTTGCCCTGCGATCCTGATCCAGATCTTTATCTCTCTGTCACACACACACACATACAGATGTGGTTAGCTTTTCTTTTTTTAAAGAGGTTGTTGATATATGAGTCTTCCTGATCGTGCACAGTTGGCCCCTTCCTGGATGTGAGTCTGTGGCCTTTTTCAGAAGAGAGCCATGCAGGTTTTATTTTATTTATTTATCTGTACTCCACTTTCCTCTCCATTGAGGACCCAAAACTGATTACACAGCTCTCCTCGCCTCTGTTCGGCCTTCAAAAGAACCCTGTGAGGTAGGTTAGGCCAAGAGTGTCCAATTGGCCCACAGTCGCCCAGCAAGCTTTCATTCGTTGTAAAACTCTCCTAAAAAAAGGAGAGAATTTTATTGCTTTTAAAATTTTCAGAAAAAAGGAAGGGTATATAGAGGGATTAAGAATAGTGGTGAGTGATGATTAAATTAGTATATTAATCTTTTGTTAGTAATATTACATTCTGTGGCTTTTTCTGCATTTGACCGATCTTCCTTCTTTACCTGTCAAAAATAAAGGTGTGAACTATATTAGTAATGTCCTTTCGGGTTATTATTAGTATTGTCCTTTAATGCGCTTTCTGAAAAGTTTTTCAGGTGTTGGGGTGTTTCCCTTTTTTTGTCTCTCAAGTTATAGGGTGCACCTCCTGCAACTCCTCCTTCCTCCGGTTCCTTGTCCCCTTTTTCAGCTTTCATGACAGAGTAGGGAATTCAAACCTGGGTCCCCCAGTTTCTAATCCCAGTGCTCCGTCTCCTCTAGCATCTTAACCTGTTGTCAGGTACTGCTAATCCTCCCCACCCCCTTCCCGTGCCCTTCATTATTTGATGGAAGCTGCAAATAGTATTGTTTGGGCCTGGAGGAGAGGGGGCTTCCGATTTTAACCTCTCCTGATAGAGCCTCTTGTGTCAGGGAAAGGCACCAAGCCTGACAATAATTGCAGAGATGCAAGACAGATGTACAGTTTTAACCTCCTAAAACATAACTTACACATAATCAATCGTAAAAACAATAAAACCAATCGAACAGTTGCTAAAAAATTCATGATGGCGTAAAAGCTCATCTAGGGGGCAATTCATGATGGCGTAAAAGCTCATCTAGGTGCCAATCTACAGACATCTAAGAAGGGGGAGGGGGGGAAGTGGGGGGAGGGAAGAGGAGGGGGGAGGCCGGAAACGGATTATAGCCTACCAGCTAGAGGCGGCCTGGCACTGTCCTCGACCATAGACCCAGCGGAATAACTCTGTTTTACGGGCCCTGCGGTATTGTACCAGATCCTGCAGGGCCCTGACCTCTCTTGGAAGATTGTTCCACCAGCTGGGGGCCAGAACCAAAAAGGCCCCGGCCCTGGTCGAGGACAGCCCAGGCATTCTCTGGGCCGGGGGCCACCAGTAGACTTTGGTCACTTGAGTGTAGCGCTTTACAGGGGATTATACCTGCCATTAGGGGAAGAGATCCAGCCCTGAGACTCTTCTATTGGTCTGTTTGTTTGTTGCTACAGAGATCCCCCTCTGGAATGTGCTGCTGTTAAAGGCTTTGGCCTCCTTTTCAGTTCCTGTCCCAGTTTTCTTAAAACCAAGTCCTGCCGAGGTCAAGAAGGGTCTTCAGTAGGGTTACCAACCTCCAGGTGGTAGCTGGAGATCTCCTGGGGGTACAGTTGATCTCCGGGCAACAGGGATCACCTGGAGAAAATGGTGCTTTAGATGACGGACTCTATGGCATTATACCCCACTGGGTCTAAAGTCCCTCCCCAAACCCTCCCCTCCTCGAGCTCCACCTCCCAAGTCTCCAGGCATTTCCCCATCTGGAGCTAGCCACCTTAGCATCCAAGCTCAGAATTTTAGTGGAACCTTAAAAACTTTACTGCAGCCTCCGTTTCCAAAGGCTTGGCCAGAGGCCCCCCAGCTACACAGAGTCAACGTAGGGTTGCCAACTGTGGCTTGAGAAATTCCTGGGTATTTGGGGGCAGAGCCTGGAGAGAGTGGAGTTTGGGGAGGGGGTGTGATACCATGGAGTCCACCGCTCTCCAAAGCCTCTGTTTCCTCCAGGAAACCTGGTCTCTGCTGTCTGGAGATCTGTTGTAATTCTGGGAGATCTCCAAGCTCTATCAGGAGGCTGCTGTTAACCACAAGTAAATGAGCATCACTGCGTTGGTCTGCAGGAGAACGGTTAGATTTGAGTGCAAGGAGCTGCGGTAGTTCAGCAGTTCGAGACCCGAGTGTGCCGCATGATGGAGTGAGCGCCCGTCTCTCGTTCCAGCTCCTGCCAACCTAGCAGTTCGAAAGCAAGAAATTGCAAGTAGATAACAGCGTTCCGGGCGCCTTGGTGTTTAGTCATGCCGGCCACATGACCATGGAAATGTCTTCGGACAGCACTGGCTCTTCGGCTGTGAAACGGAGATGAGCACCGCAACCCTAGAGTCGGATTTGACTGGCTTTTGAGCAAGGGAACCTTTACCTTTTTTTTTTAGCACCTTAGAGTCCAGCAAGAGTTTGAGAGTCTGTAAGCTTTCCAGAATCCAAACTCCCTTCATCAGACACAGTCAAGTTGCAATGCTCCCTCTAAGCTGTGGAGTCTTGTGAGCAAAAGTTCTACTTTGTGAGCGACTGGCATCAAAGTTATGAGCGAGCAATTTGGCTGCTGCATAAATTAGCTTGTTCTGGAGCCATCCTTCCTGAGCAAAGACAAAAATCTGTGAGCTGGAGGCTGAAAAACTGTGAGCTAGCTCACACTAACTCAGCTTAGAGGGAACGCTGGTTGTAATGTGGATCTGACTCCTTGTATCTTAGTCAGAAGGTGAGAGGGGTGTTGTAAAGGACGCTTGTAAAGGATGCAGAGATACCCTGCATATTGTCATCAGCTCGATTAGGGCAGAGGGGCAAACGTCTACAGTGGGGTAAATGCAGGAAATGGGGATAATGCTTTCAGCATCTGGCAGAGGGGGGTCTAGTCCCTGAAGGCTGATGCTGCAAGAAATCTGCCTTCCTTTAAAGAGCTCCCAAGACCCTCCATTGTTGTTAATGGTTGATATGCAGAGGGCATGTCAGGAGTTGGAGCTTTCTTCTGCCAAAATCCCTTCTTTTGCCCAAAGGTACAGTTGCCCCAGCCCTCCCCCGTTTAGAGCACTCACTCCCCAGCAAGTTTTAGAGCTTCAAAAGGGGCCTGTCTGCCCAGTTCTTTTTTTTCTTTGTGTAAACAAAGACTTGATCCTACTGTGAAGAAAGGCATTTCTTCCACTGTGAATAAATATTCTCTCTCCTCTGTGTCTTTTTAAAGAGTTCATTTGTTTTTGTGTTCTCCTCTTCAGGTCTCAGAATGGGGATGAAAATGGGACTTGGCCAAACAACCAGTTTGATACGGAAATGCTTCAAGCCATGATCCTGGCGTCAGCGAACGGTCAGTGTCCACAAAGAATGTGGTATCAGGTTTTTTCCCCGTTATGCAGATGTTTAGCACGCATGCTTTAAAAAAAAAAAACAGTATGTGAAATACCTGTTCTGTACATGATGCAAGCCAGCCGAGGTCCTCTTTAAAAAGGCTGTGTTCGAATGCTGGTGGGGATCTCTCCTGCCCTACAAAAGGGTGTTGCTATTAGGAACAGCTGGCTGATTTGTAACCCTTTGTGGAGAAATACAGTGAATCCTGTGCTGTCTTTGTCATTTATTATTTTCATAGCATATTTTTACAAGCTCGGTGTAAAAGTGTGTGCTGATCCTTTGCTGCTCCCCCCAGAAGCCTTATGAAACACCCAGCGAACACTTGCTAGGGCTGGCTGAGGAGGCGGAAGCATTTGGAAAGAGGGTGTTTATGATTTAAAAGGAAATGGGGGGAAGGTCAGTTCTGCTCCGAAATGTAAACGGGGAGGGGGGGAGCCTTAGATTCCCCATTTCCTTATCATCCTCTCTGGGCAACTGCAGATCTAATTTCCTTCCTTCACAAATAAGAGGATTATTTTTAAACAGTTGCCTCCTGCCCCGTTCCGGGTGCCTCATTGTATCCTTCCCTCCGAGGGTCAGTTGCCTCCTTGGGAAGGAGAGACAACCAGCCAGTCCAGGGCTGTCAAAATAAGACCTCCATCAGGCACAGATCGGACAGAATTTTCCCTGTCCAGCACAAACCGACCGCTTGTACGCACTTAGGTTCCTTGGCGTGCCGCCTGGCAGCCGTTTCTACAGGCTGCTGAAGGTTACGGCTGCTATCTGCTCCAAGAAATCATCGTTGAGAATTGTATGAGAACCAGTTGATCGATAAAGATGTTTGAATTTGCATGAGACCAGTAGCTCTGAGGGAAAGAATTTGTTTTCTTCTCAGTGAGGCTTACTCCTAAGGAAATCTGCAAAACTGCCATTTCGCCGCCTGCTCAGATGTGCCCGGTGTAATATTTTCTCTCAGTGAGGGGGCGCAAGCACCTCTTCCTTCCTTGCAGAGTCAGCTTATCCAAGAGGCAGAATGTCTGACAGCTAGGGTTGCCAACTCAAGGTTGGGAAATTCCTGGAAATGTTGGGGGCTGGGGGAGGATATAATGCCATAGAGCCTACCCTCCAAAGCACACATATTCACTAGGGGAGACCGTCTCTGCTGTCTGGAAATTAGCTATGATTCCGGGAGATCTTCCGGTCCCACCTGTATGATGGCGACCCTATGACACTTCAGCTGAGTTGTGGGCGGGAAACTACAGACATCAGTTTAGAAAGAGGAGAGAGACGATCCATTGTTCTTGGAAAAGCCAGTTTGGTGTATTGGTTAGGAGCACGGACTCTAATCTGGGAGAACCGGGTTTGATTCCCCACATGCAGCGGCTGGTGTGACTTCAGGTCTGTCACAAGTTCTCTCAGAGCTGTTCTCTCAGGAGCAGTCCTCAAAAGAGCTCTCTCAGCCCCACCTACCTCACCTACCCTCAAACCAGTTTCCATTTTTGAAGCCTGAAGTCCAAAGGGCCCAGTGACCCATGAGGGGGATGAGAGATCCAACCTGACTCCTGCCAATTCCTTCTGAAGCTGGGGACGGGGGGGGTAGGTTGTTAAAGCGTTGCTTCTGCAGGCGCCTGCATCCTCCCCAGCATGAGTCATTCTGTCTTCTGACCGGTGATTCTTCTGACCACAGCACCCCAGTAGGAGAAGGTGGCTTTAAAAAAAATAATATGATTTTGGAATGTGGGGGGGGGGGATTCCCACATCCTGCCCTCCAGTGGTGCAGTTTAAATCGCAACACAAGCACACACCCTGATACGATTCCATGGAATTGGCTGTTTCCACCAGTTTGGCCTTGGGCCAGATTATCAGGGAATAAAAACTGCTGAACTCTTCTTTACTCCTCGCCTCGGCGCGTCTGACAATAGCCTCTTGTTGGAAATCACCTCTATCTCCTTCATTATCTGCTTGGCACGAAAAAGTGTGGGAACAATTTGTGATGGCTAAGGTTACTGATAAAGTCCACAGAGCACAACACTCTCAGCCCTCCATGTCCAAATTTGAATCAACCTGGTTCCCAGTATTCTCGTTTCTCACTACACATGATATATTACCTGAAAACTCACATTATCATAAATGGTTACTGTTGTGAGGCTCTATCATAACAGTTTGTTGGGAAAGGTCAATATATGTTTTCCTTGCTTAATTAATTCTGTAGACTTAAAGCCGTTGATATTACACTGGGGGGGGGAGAAAGTTGCTGAACTCAGTGTGAGTTACTGTGGAATAACTGTGTTTAGAGTGGTGCTGTGCATCAGCTGAAATAAATAAGCTTAAATCTAAGCATTCCAGTTTGACTGGTTTGGCTGCTGGGGAATGGGTTAGCGATCCCTTACTCAGGTGTGTAGTCATCTTGCCTTCTGAACAACTGCACTGTAAGTTCTTTTGTACTTCAGGGGCACTCCCAGTGCAGGAAATGTAGTGAAATATTCAGTCGGGGTTAGTGACAGCAGTTAATGCACAAAGGGATGGTCTCTTGTCTTTTCTGTGCAGTTCATCTATTCCCTATAAGCTCGACACTGGCAAGTCAGAAAGAACTTGCCCGTGGGACGTTGCGCCGACACAGGGCCTTGTTCGAACTGGGCTGCTACTTATGCTAAGCAGCCGCATGGAAACAGCCCAGTAGTAAACGAGACTCTCAGAGAAAGTGCATGGGTGAGTTGGGTTGCCAACCTCCTCCAGGTGGGCCTGGAGAACTCCTGCTATTCCAAGGTCAGCTGATCTCCAGACAATTAGAAATAATTTCCCCCCGGAGAAAATGGCTGGAGGGAGGATTCTATGGCATTGAACCCTGCTGGGGTCCCGCCCCTCCCGAAACCCCGCCCTTCCCAGGCTCCACCCCCCCAAAAAAAATCTCCAAGTTTTTCCCAGCCTAGAGCTGGCAAGCAACCCTATGGCTGAGTCGTTTTGCCTCGCCAGGATTGCATTGAAATCAGGCATAACACAATAGACAAATTGCCAACTGGGCTATGTTTCTCATTGAGCAAAGAATGAGTGTAGGGTTGCCAGCTCCAGCCTGAGGAATTCTTGGAGATTTGGGATTTGCCTGTGGAGGGGGGAATTTGAGGACAGATTTCACCTAGAATTGATGGTATACCATCTGGAGATCAGTTGACAATAGGAAGAGTCCCGGAGCACCTTAAAGACTAACAAAAATTTGTGGCAGGGGAGGAGCTTTCCTGAGTCACTGCTCACTTCTTCAGATCGGTTGTAATTCTGGGAGAACCTCAGGCTCTACCTGGTGGTTGGAAACCCTGACCGGAGGCTCTGTGCCATTGGCTTCATCCACTGACCGGTTGCCACGTGAGCGGAGAACTGACCAAAGAGCTCTTTTAACTCCTTCCTGCCCAGTGCAAATCACGACAGAGGACCAAATTTCACATGTCAGTGAAAGGCAGTGTTCCCTCTAAGCTGAGCTAGTGTGAGCCAGCTCACAGTTTTTTAGCCTCCGGCTCACACATTTTTGGCTTTGCTCAGGAAGGAGAGCTCCAGAGGAGACTAATGTCTGCGGTAGCCAAATCGCTCACCCACAACTTTAATGCCGTAGCTCACAAAGTAGAAGTTTTGCTCACAAGACTCCACAGTTTAGAGGGAACATTGGTGAGAGGTTAGTGATGGGACGTCCTGACATCTATATATCTAATAGCCAAGTCGCCCCCTGGTGTGCAGATACTTATTTCCGCACATCGGGGGCAACTGGAGGGGAGGGAGAGTTTTGTACACACGTGGGGCGGTCCCCAGGTGTGCACAAAAACCAGAAACCCTGTAAAAAATATCAGGGGGATGTTTAAATCCCCCCGAAACTGACAGAGCGTCCCCTGCGCATGCGCAGGGGACGCTCTGCAGCCGCCTCCCACCGTTAAACATCCCCCTGATATTTTTTACAGGGTTTCTGGTTTTTGTGCACACCTGGGGACCGCCCCTCCATCCCGCCGGTTCCCCATCTCCTCCACCACCACTCCGCTCGATCTCCCCCCCACCGCTCCGAACTGAGGCCCGAGTATCAAGGGGGGGTGGAGGAGACGGGGGGAACCGGAGGGATGGGGGGGTACTTACCTTCTCCTGCTGTTTCTTCCTCTGCCTCCCCCCCCCACGCGAGTATCGCGGGTCCGCCCCTTGTGTTCTTGAATATTAAAAAGCCACCCTTGGGGTGGAGCAACCCAGTTTTTATCAGGAATATATAGCTGTGGGAGGCTTTTGGAACCCCTGTATGCCTACAAATTGTCCCCCTCCCCAGGGCTGTATTTGCTTCCATAGGGCAGGAAAGGTGAGATAGGCAACCCATTATTGTTAGATGGTTTTCCCCTACCGTGACTGATAGAAATGACCCTTCTTTGAGCTGATACTGAGGAAAAATGGCAAAAGGTGTGTAGGGGGAGCTGATTGCCTGGCACAAATGCCTAGATCAACATCTCCTCCGTCCACCACCTCTAATGCCTTGCAGTGGATATCCAACCGTGTCCACACAACGTACAGGTTGTCCCAGAAACTTTGGAGTGGCAGTTTCTCTGTGGCCTGAGAGATAGCCGCAGAGGGACATAAGTGTGGCAAGTTGTGCCAAAGAGGGTTGCCAACTATGTGCTGGGAAATTCCTGGAGATTTGGGGGTAGAGCCTGGGGAAGGAGGAGTTTGTAAAGGGAAAGGACCTCAGTGAGGTATAATGGCCATAGAGTCCACCCTCCAAAATTGCCACATTCTCTAGGGGGACTGATCTATGTAATCTGGATATCAGCTGTAATTCCGGGAGACCTCCAGGCCTCACCTGGGGGTTGCTGGCCATGCTGCCAAACCCTCTATTCCTGGTGACACTAGAAAGGAGGCAGCCAAAGAGCCCTTGCCTCTGTCTTGACTGGCACAGGAGAACTGGCTGAGCTGCCCAAGGAGGAGAATGGAGTCCTGTGGATTCTTGATCTGCTGGACCCACTG